AGCAAGGCGTCGGGGGGAAAGGGCACCGGCTGCATCTGGCCGTCTGCGCTCACATGGAACGAGTAGGCGCTGGAGAGAAGAGAGATGGAAAGGGAACATAAAAAAATAAATCAATACTTCAGATCTATAGAGCTAAAAATAACCTGAATTTGGACGGATAGGTACTAGGAAGGAGATTGATGTGCAAGAGAAATGGGCTGAAGACAGGTAGGACAAGGTATCAATCAATAAATGTGTGAGAGCAAGTAGAAGACCTACACATAAGTCAAGAAACTGCAAGTTGTGAAGTATGATGCCACCACAATGGCCTCCACAATATTTGCCACAATTCTGGCAATAACTTGTCCCACAGTGGCCGTGGGCAGGAATGCATAATGGCAGATTGCATTACAGGGCAGAGTCAGCGTGGCATTGCTAATGGCTGATCGATACTGTAGCAGTTGGAAGGCGAGGCTGGTTTATGATTTCAAATTAGCACCGCATAAGTGACTTGCTGTTCCACAACAAACAACCATAACAACTATAACCTTCAGTTGGCAAAGGCCGGAGAACATGTGCATGTTGTGTTGGAGAACAAGGTCTGGACAGTATCTTAGGTATCCAGGTGCCGTTAAGTAAATAAGGACCATTGAAAAGTCCTGTATAAAAACACGAAACACTCATGTGGATTCCCATCCATGAGTGATTGATTATTATGCTCAATTATCACATGTTTCAATCTTAAATTTACACTGTGTTTTAAGCTTAAATGTCCTCAATTATCCTCCTCGGAGGCACGTTCACATTCTCACGGACACACTCCTGTCCACTCGGGGTGTGCGTTCGCATTGCTACATCCACTAGCATTGCCACTTCCGATAGTTGACTTTTAGGCTCAAAACATGGTGTATGATGATGATGATGCCGTTTTGAGTCAAATATGAATGTTGGGCTTGCAGACACTTGGATGACACCTGACAAGCACTATGGAGGCAAGTTGTGTTTTTATTCTTTTGATTTTTTACGTCTGAAGAAGGGGTCCTGTTTACTTCTATTGTATTGGATGTGGCTGCAACATTGTTTACCCCTGACACCAAAAGTGTTTTGTGGACTCGAACACTTCACCCACTCCTCCACTGTTCAACTGTCAATGAACTGTCAGTTTACCCGATAGTGAATCTCAATTCATGTATACATGCTACAATAAATGTGTTTATAAGTGTGTGAGGTTAAAACTCACGGCTTTCCTCCAGAGGAGCCAGGCAGAGAGGAGGGCAGCCCTGGTGCTCTAAGGTGAGATCGAGAGTCATACGCCACCTGGTGGGAACAAAAGAGTGGACACAATTAGTTGCTTGGCAATAATCTCTATAGACAGATGCTGGATGTGAGTACGAAATAATCTGTAGGGACCTGATTTCCATAACAGTTTGACCAATAATATTTTAGTAGGTACACAGTCGGTGTGGAGACATATTGACTGAAATGCATCAGCTTGAGTTTTTTTAATGTATCTGCATTCTGCTCGCTCCAGCCGGTCGAGGCAGATGGCTGCCCACATAGAGTCTGCTTCTGCTGGAGGTTTCTTCAAAATAATGAGACAGTTTTTTCTCTCCACAGTCACCAAAGTGTTTTCTCTTTGTGGGAACTGATGGGTTTCTCTATAATTTTAAGGTATCGACATAAGTGCCTTGAGATAATGTTTGTTATGATCTGGTGCTATACAAATAAAATAAAATTCAATTGAATTGAGCATGAAGCTAGCTGTTAATAGAGATTAGCCAAAGTGACGTCTGGACCCACACCTACAAAATGTATCGCTGTTAATGTTTTATGTGGAGAAACGTTCAGCACATGTAAAAGAGATTAGTTGGACTGTAAATGGTGAACGAAAGATGTAGATATTCACTGTCTACACCAGAAGCCTCAAAATACTGGTCATTGCCCCCAGAGGGATTATTGTCAGACAATAATCAATGGACTACCAGATGGCTTGATAAAGAACTAACTAAAAGCAAGTTGCACCAAAATCATTTTACAACAAAGTAGATTGAAAACACAGGAGTGAGAATATGAGAAAGATCTGTGCTGCAGTGTGTGACTGTTCTGACACTAACATGTGCTACACAAGATAACATTTTCTGATCCAGATTCACATTTAACGGCAAATCTTCTCTCTCTGACTGTCGCTCATCATCAAAGTGAATCAGAGAATGTAAACACGATAAGTTCGGATGTAAAATGAATGCACAACTCTACCTGATAACACAGAACACATTCATCTAGCTCTGAGGCCATGCTTTGACAGTCAGAAGGTTAGACCTGATACCGAACGATAAATCAAACCCTTGACAGGGAAGAGTAGTTTGGCCTTTACTCACCATGGGGCTTCGGGAGTAAGCACTGGCTGCCGCACTGATTTGTGGTGAGAGAGTTAGAGCCCCGCCAAAACCTCCTGGGCTGGCCAGCTCCCCGTTCAGTCCTGCGTGGGACACCACGCCAAAATGAGCTGGGTATGAACCGGGGGGCACAGACATGGGACTGCGGAGAGCTAGGGAGGGAGGGAAAGAGGAAGGAGGGATTGAGGAATGGAAGGAAAGAGAGGGAGCAGTACACAGTACACAGGCACAGTCACAGGGGGGCTGAGAAGAATGGATAACCTTTCTGTCTGTGAACTATAGTTGTTTATTCCCAAAGTGTCAAACCAGGGAGCTTTTAAGTATAACAATGGTTTTCATTGCTGGTTACAGAAGAGCAGAGAGCTGTGAGGAGCCTTGCTCAAGAGCACAAAGTTAGTCAGGTGTGAATCTCACTTTTTGTAAGAATGATTATGCAAAAACTTCAAGACAGATTACCACAAACTGAGAGAGGGTGTTGAATCTTGCTGGTGTTAACAGTCTTACCGAGAGGGTCTGCACTGGCGGCTGCTTTGCTGACCAGACGAAGGCAGGAGGTGCTGGGACCAGGAGCTCCAGGAGCTCCTGGGGTAAGGGCCTCACGGTGGGATGGGGACGGGGTGCCAGACTTAGACAGTGGAGACTGGGACTTATCCATCTGTAGAGAGGTCAAACAAAAGTTAAGGGATATAAGTGATGGCATCATGTGTAACAGGAATGGGACATAGACAACCTAAAAGTATGAAGTGGAAAAAACACCATTTTATCGAGAAAGAAAAATAAACACGTCAGAATGAAGGAAAAGCAAACAAATATTGCAGATCAGCAAAGAGCAGTAAATCTCTACACTGCTGTCTCTCTATCTGTCTTACCTGTGAAGGGTCCTTGGCCTTGCCTGGGGTGGGGCTGCGGGGATTTGGGGTGGAGGGGGCCTCTCCTGTGCTCGAGGAGCCCGGCAGCTCTTTCCTTAAGGTAGGGGCCCGGTCTAAACCATTCCCATGTGGGGAGTGAGGAGGGGTGCCTGCAGGAGAGTTCGGCTCCTGGATGACAAAGACAAATGGAAAAAGATGATTTAAAGTTCTGCCCTGTTTTTCCGCCTCTGAAGGTCAAACACTGCTGTGACGACTTTGTGGCTTAATTTGAGTCTCGGCCCTCAAGGTGCTGAATTCAGGTCTGTCAGGTTCGGAGTCCACTTTGCAGCATTTCATCGTGTTTTCTCTTAAAGAAGTGATTCGCGTATACAAAGGCTGCAGTTATTTTTATTGTACTGACATTTTTATTCATAAACAGTTTAACCATGGTGTTTTTGCACAGCATTTCCTACACATTGGTACTACACCAACCATTCAAGCACACAACCACAAATTTCTGATTATTTTATAATATATAATTAATGTTTACCCTGTTTATAAAAGATTAAATCATTGTGACAGTGTCCAGAGTTGTAAATCCTTCCTATATTACAGCCTAAATATTACGGCATAAATTGTGCGCACACTAAATTCTAGATTCGTATTTATTCAATTTGGATCTGCACCAAATTACACACATTCATTCATATCAGTAATTTTCTTCGTGAAGACCCATGAATTATTCCCTGAAATTGTTGCAAATGTTGAAAAAAGCTGACAATAATAAAGAAAGTGAAAGAAAATACCTGGAGCTAACCCTTTATCTGGATATAGCTCCACATATCTCTTAATGCCGGGCTGTTTTCTGTCATTTTCTTTCTGCATTTTGTCTCATATCTTCTATTTAAGTTGAAAACGCAGTTGCACATAAACATCTCTCCCTGTGTTCCAGCATGTGTAACAGCTTTAATGGACCATAGACACAGTTTACTCAGTAATAGCAGCTGGCTATAGTTTCAAAATAAATTGTATTTTATTTAAAGGAAAATGTTGCTGTTTCTTATGCAACAGATATAAAATAACCTCCACTGTCACAGTGTGTCATGTGATTTGTAAGAGGATTCAGAGCTCAGGGAATATTACATGAAACAGTGGTGTGTCACTGTTGCTGGTTGAGTCGTGTATGGACCTGGAGATAATGTTGCTGTTACAGCTGCTTTTATCACTGGACCCACAGCCTCCACTGTTGAGCCAGTGCTGCCTCTCCCAGAACAGAGCGGCGGAGTAAGCATTTCTCACTGGGTCACGCTGCTCAGCACAGACATTTTAGTGCTTACGTGTGCACACGCGCGCGCGCACACACACACACACACACACACACACACACACACACACACACACACACAGATCATCAAACAACCACACACAGGTAAATTGCGCATATGTACACACACACGGAAAAAGTGATGTACACACACATACACACGCACTCGCACAGACAATTCACCAGAGAAGATCCCTTCCCTTTTTCTGCTATTACCCACATTTGTCATTTTTTTCCCTCTCTGCTTTTGTACCAGTTTCCAAATCACACAAGAGACCAGTTCCGCTGTTGTGTGTAATATCAAAATACAGAGGGCTTAGATAAAACACTCTGTATTTTTGTACACTGCGTGAAGTATTTAAAGAACTAAAATATTCCAGGGGCATAAACGGCTTTGCATATATTAAAAGAAACAGACTTCAGTTATCAAATAAGAGAAAAGAGGAGGGAAGAAAGAGGTAGAGGCTTCAATAGGTTGGAAAGAGAACTAAAACATATACAGACGAGGTAGATGAGAAAACAAATGTGTGGACCAAGGATTAATGAATGTGAGTTTGGACTATAGGGTTGCGCCATATCACTGATGGTTGACAGTAATAATCACAAGTTTGAACCTAGTATAGTTATCAATAATGTTCATTTTAAAGGAATTGCAAGTTCACCTCTCAGATAAGAATACATCAAACGTCAGGGCTGCGTTTAGCAAAGCATAACAAAATCTTCATTTAAACAAAATGTGGTGTGTCATTACAATACGCAGGAGTTACAACTACAGCAGATGAGAAGGCCATTCTGAGGTACAGGACACAAGTGTTAATATGTTTTAATACCCCTAATTACTCTTGATGTTACAGTCTCTGTTTTGCCTTTGGAAATAACTGCTTCTAACATCTTCAACATCGCTGCTGATTGGGCAACAGCTCAGACACACCCACCAAATGAGAGAAAACGTACCTTGAAGCCTGTTGCACACCAAACCATGAGATACATGTCGTTCAGCCCGGAAACTGTAGTAAAGCAGTGTAAAGGGTTTCGAGATTGAACATGCTCAAGTGCTGTTTATGAACACAACCCACTAAATTCCCTCCACAGCAACATTCAGGTCAGGCGATGCGACATGTCTGTGAATCTATACAACGATGCCTGAGAGATCATTTCAGTAAAACTTTGGCTCAAAGTCAATTTTGACAAACACTGAATAGCCTTTGATTGTACTGTATCATCTTTCAGGACATGAAAATAAAATGACAGCAGGAGAAAAGTTCCCTTTGCTTGAAAGCACCACTCAGAAAAAGTTTGCACTATTGACGAGTGCTTTTTTCAACAAAGGATAAAGTAAACCAGGATGCCACTCTGTTGTCTTCCATGAATATCATGCCACTTAAATGGTGAAGATCCAAAGTGGATAATCCAGCAAAACACAAAACAAGGGATGTGACGGTCAAGCACTTCAGTCTGAACGAGACTAGAAAAATACCTTTCTGCAAGGAGTATTTTTAACTTCAGACTATTGCAAAATAATAATATTGAGGATAGTTATTTTTTCAATTTCATTTTTTGCTTTCTATTTCTCTAAATAGCCTTCAGTCAGTCAGTTAAGAAAACACCACTTTGATAATAATGAACCCCCTTCCCCCTGTGTAATCGTCATGGTGACGTAGACACTGTGACATGTCAGCTCAGTCATCATCACCCAGCCCTGGTTCAGACAGACACTTGACGAGAGGAGAACACAAACAGCGGCTGCTGATAATGAGCTTACATTGCAGCTCTTCCTATTTACAAGGAAACTGCTGCAGAGAGCTGAACCAGCTCCTTACCTGCTGACTCATTTCACATCTCTTCCACATCCACACTCACTACACACAGCAGACACACACAAACACACCAAGGTTACTATAGGTGAATCTGATATTAAAACAAGCAAGCTCAACAAAAACTCAACTACAGTGATGCTTTTCTTGGCCTTTGAATTTAAAATATGAAAAAAATCAATGTATTAGGATAGTGGATGTTTTTTTCCAGCACAATAATTGTTTTCTGACATTTCATTGACCAAATAATCAATCTACTGATCTGAAAAATAAAGATGATATGAATAATGCAAATGATTGTTTCAGCCCCTCTAGAGTGTAAGATTTCGAATAAATGAAATGATAATAATCACTGCCTGCAAATTAGCTAAAATAATATAAATGAATTATGAAATTAAGTCTATACTGAGTCCTGAGTCTGTTAGCAAAGGGCAACTGCCACTCTGTCCCATTTCAGGGCCGCCTACTTTGAAAGGCTGCACTGTCCCATTTCGAAGGCTCCAACAAATGCAGCTGACAAATCAAATGTGTCCTTCCATCACTGAGCAACAAAGACTCCAACACATGGATCCTTCTCAGGGCCAACATATCCCGGGATTCATTGCGCTTCAGTGACAAACTGCTTTTCAGAGATAATGGCGACGGTACACGACAACTTTTAAGGTTTCAACTCAACCAAATAGCTAAAGGTTCACATGTGAAAAAAACAAGGGACATCAAAAGTTTCTTGTTGTGTCCAACTGCAGCTCTGTTGCTAGGTGACAGCATTAAGGACGGGACAAGCTGATGACGCAAATTATGGAAATCCTCATTCGGTTTGGTGTTGGTGGACATAATCTTGTTACTTTCTCACCGTATGATTAATGACGCAAAAAACACTTTTCTGAGTTACAGGGCTTGTACACACACATACACACATACAATTCACCAGAGGACAACCTTTCCCTGACCTTTTTTTCTGCTTTTACACCAGACAGGTTCTTCTTTTGTGTGCAATATTAAAATAGAGAGGGAAAAAAGGACAGAAAAAAGAGCAAATCCCTTCAAAAAAATTACCAAGGAAACTGAAATTAAATATTTTTGTAAAATCAAACTAAATTCAATTAAAAACTTCAGACACTTGCACACACAAAGTGAAATTGAACTATAGACAGTCAGGGTTATGCAGAGGACAGAGGGTGGTTCCAAGCTGTGCCAAGTACATTTATAGTTATTCCCACAAGCAGCACTGGCCCTCCCAACATTGGAGTTATGCTTTATTCATTGTGTGCTGCAGCACAGTAGTCAGAGAACTCCTGTCGTATAAAGGCGGCTTGTAAAGAAATCAAAGATAGATTTTGTAACAACTCTTGCATAAGGGCGTACTGAGAGGTGATGTAGGGGAAGAAAGAGTAAAGTGCAAATTCTGTTAGTGAGTTACATATCTGCCATAGTGGAGGTCATGAGTAAACACTTTTAGTAAAGGTGGAATATTTTGAAGCAGTCAGAAGAAACAATTTTGTGATGAAGAAATTTCTTTCTGTGAGATTTATGACTTTGATTATGAAAACCAACCAACAGACAAACTAACCCAAACCACTTGAGGTTTTGTTCTGGTTGACAGATTTTAAATGATTAAGTGCAATTTGCTTTGTCATTTTATAACAGCTTTGTTTGCTGAGAAATTGAATACAACAAACCTAATATACATTTAATTTTCATCTTTAAGACAAATTTTGATTTAGATCCCTTTTACTCTTAATAATACTTACTCAAAAGAATACATCTGCGATATAGGTGTTCACCTCAGATGTTAGCAAGATGCTTACTTACACATGCACCAGATATGGAGCAACGTTTCTTGCCACTTGGTGAATACAATTCCAATAGTCACTCTTGTTTTGACTCTGATTTGGTCTCCACCATGTCCTAAGGCTCTATAGATGCGAAATGCTGCACAGTATTCACTAGCTGGTTGCTGAAGCTACTATAATGCTCTGTAGAGCTGAGGGGCAGAGATCATTCCTCTGTGGTTTTATCTTGATGAGTGACTCCTTTCATATCCATGTATCAATGTGATCCATTGCTCATATAAAGAAACAGATTATAACTATGTTTAATTACAAGGATATTTCAATGAGACAGGAAACTTACCTCATTGGAGACGTCCACCACAAGATTGTCTTCACTTTTGTCCCCATCACTGTCCTGAGAAGCACAACAGACAGAAGAAGGTTCAAATAGAGGATTTTTCAATATTTATTAAAAGAACATGCATTTTTCTCTTTGTATCCCCCACATGGACACAATGCATGTGTACACAGATAACTTAACTAAAAATGAAGATGGACACACACACACACACACACAGACACACAAGTCCACACAACAGGTCAAAATATCAATATCAGTGGCTACTCTTTGCTTCTTCTACTGTCTGCGCACCATGCAACATATAACAAAGATACTCTAAACCACCATATATTTTTACCAAACATCTCCCTCATAAGCAAACTACTTTGCCCCCCCACACACACGTACATAGAGCTTTCTCCATCTATGGCACATTTCTTCCTCTTCATCTAGCCATCTAGCCATCTCTCTATCTCTCGCTTTTTCTCTCCCTTTTTTTCTGGGGTGAGAACGATGGCACTTAGTTACCATGGCAACAGCGCTTTGATGTGATCATGGCCTGATATTCCTATTGACATCAGTGTGGAGTGACATCAGTACCTAATTATACAGAGCCAAAACAGGGCTAGGTCTACTGCCTATTCCTAGAAACAGAAAATACAGAAACAGACAGTGGGAGAGAACGGAGAGAGGAGGGAGAAGACATTTAGAAATGAGAAATAGAATAAAAATGAGAATAAAACAGGGAGAATACCAAGAGTGAGAGGAAAAAGCAGGGAAACTGAGAGACAATGATAAAGAGACAGACAGCAATACAGAGGAGCTGAAGGCAAACAGAGAGGAATGGGAGCCATAATGTGGCTCGACAGACAGAAAGAGAGGAAAAACATTCGGAATGTGGAAACTATCGGTGCTTGTTCTCGCTGTGAACTAATGTGAAGATTTGGACTGTTGCTGATGCCAAACTAATTTAGCTGGAGGCCGTCCTGCACAGACAGACTCCCAGTGTCAATCAATCCTGCAGACTGGAGACACACAGCCATCTAATTCATTACAGCTATCTGCCTTGGCTGTCTCTCTTCTGGCATTACATCGCCTCTGGCTCCCTGCTCTTCCCCTTTGGACCCATCCAAACCAAACAAGAGTCTTGATTGGCTGCAGGGCCCCGACCCCCATGTGGCCTATAATGTCATAGACACACGGGCACACATGTGCACACACATGAAGTAACATCTTCAGTGTATGTGTGACTTTCTGTGAACTGATTTGTAAAGATTATGAAAACATACACATCAATAATACACTAACAGCATTTTAATTATGTGAAGCATGTTTGAATGTTTTAAACTGTTTGTTCATTTGCTTATTTTCTTGCTGTAAACTACAAGTGCTGCTGCATCAACTCTGGCATCTACACAGGCATCCTTTAAGGTTACATCCATACTACCACATCTTCATTTGAAAACAACTAACACGATCAGAGTCCACATGAGCATTTTGGCTCTGTATCACTTTTAATCCCCGTCCACACTAAAACACCTGTAAACGCATATCACATGACCACTCACTACACTGGATGTGTGCATGCCGGTGTAAACAGGAAGGCATGCTCATCCCACTGGACACAGGAACTGTTGCAGATTGCTGGAATAATAGCTTGTGTCCTACATGCTAACACTTGTATCATTGCAAAATACAGAATTTAACTATACAAAAGGTGTTAGTAAAGACAACATGGTCAGCGACACTCGCTGATTGTCAATGTGGAGTTCTACGTTGGTTGCAGAGGCTAATGCTAGTTGTTTTCCTCTGGAAAGGGGTCACATGATCAGAGCCTAACGAATCAGCGGTGGCTATGTCTTGACTGCAAAGACGCAATCACCAAGCGGTCGAGAGAGTCTTCGTCATCGTTTCTAAACATTTCAATTTCAGTAAATCGAGACTAAAACACAGCCCTGGAGTTTTCAAAATAAAACTGGGCCAGGAACGTTTCCAAACATCTCTGTTTCACTGGCTCTAAAACTTGAGTAGTGTGAACACCAGGCATATCCGTAGCAGAGCTGATACGTTTAAACAGAAATGTGGTAATATGGATGTAGCCTCGGTTTATCTTATCGTATAAGAACACATACATAGGAGTGTGGTGGGAGAGGCTCTTTGTCATCACAGCGCCTCCTCTTGGCCTCAGCTCCTCCCTGTGAGGAGGAGTAGCCTCCTGATGGGCCCTGCCGCTCCTCAGTGGGCTGACTGTCTGTTGATGACACTGACTTACTCTGGAGAAAGACAAGGACACAAATGGAAGTATGAACACGCCATGCTCCAGCTATCACAGCAAAGACAGGCAGTGAAAATGTGACATGTACATTTGACACAAAAACACATTTTCTTTTATAATTTTAACATTTTATACAAAAACACACCCACTCAAGCTACTGTACAGGTCATGAACACAAGTACACAATAACTCTGTAGTCATAAGCTCAGGGACAGACAAGGAAAGGTAAACAGGCAGAATTACACACATTAATAAAGATCCCCATAAAAACACACATGATAATACACACACAGCAGCTTACGGTAGGTACAGCAGACGTAAGCACAGGTTAAGACGTAGCCACAGAAGCACACGGGACACACTATAAAGCTAATTAGTGCTCTCCCCTCGACACACCAGCCCTCATGTAAAATATGACTCTCATTATGAGGCAATAAAGCTGTGCAGGCAAATTTACACTACAGCCCGGCCTGGTGCTCAGGACTCAGAGAAGCCGATTAAAGCATTGTGTTGTTTTTTGCGTCCGGGCAGGGGCCAGAGGTTCGGCAAGGGCCACTTGTCATTCTCTGTCCCCATGTGGGCAGGACAAGAACAGTGAGGGCTTAACACACCAATGACTCACACAGGAAGAAGCCCACGGGGCCAACAGGAAGGAGTGCTGACAGAGGAGAGGAGAAACTGCACAATGGACCTCAGTGCAGCTTAACAAACTTCCCTCTCTTCTTTCTTGTTCTTCTCGCTTCTCTTGACTTCCCCTGTCCCTTTTTTTTTTACACCCCTCCATTTAAAATTCCAACATGTTTTACTCGTGCGGGGCTCTCCAACAAATGCCAATTGATATGCATCTCTCCCCCAGCCCCCTTCTTTTCCCCCTCCCTTCCCAAACACAGTAATGCTTGGCTAAGTTCTGCACAAACCCCAGCTCATGTGAAAACTATTTTCCTGGTGCTTAACAATCAGCATTGTGTTTGGCAATTAAATTATGCTGAGGGTTTCATTGCGAACAGGAAGAGAGCGAGGGATGGAGGGAGAGTAAAGTCAGTGGTGCTCTTAAATCATTTTCATTTTGCAATAAAAGCTACAACAAAGACTTACTGGTATTTTTTAAACCTTTTCCTCTGTATTTTTCTAGTTATTGTCCTTTTTAGTTTCTCTCTTCTTCCTATTTCCAATTTCACTCTCTAACCATCCTCCTCCCTCTCTCTCTCTCTCTCTCTCTCTCTCTCTCTGTGTTATAAACAGATACACTGATGACTGAGATTCACTGCAGCCAGTTCAGTACAACACTGTTCACCAAGTAATCTGCAGTCAGAGAGAATAGGATGAGCTGTAGATGTCCACTGAATTTCAATCACCCCATTTGCACTGCATTAATTCACATGGCGATTATCAGGGACTTTTAACTCCAGTGACATGAAATATGAAGCAAACCTGTGAGGCAAGATGAACACTTGCTCATTTTTTGTTTCACTGCATGTTGCACTTACTCACTCAGTTTGACTCAGGGTGATTTTTTTGAAGTCCCTCAGTTATGAACTTTCCCATGCTGGGAACTTATTTCTCAGATTATTATGACAAAATAAGTTTGTTCCTCTCTCGACTATGAGAGATGTGTTATCACTTCATCGTCTTTGCTTGTTTACTCTTTTCTGAGTTTTCACTAGAAATGACGTGGAAATACAAAAGAGCCTAAGTATATTGTGAAAAGCAGGTTTTTCTAGAAGTCTGATATTTGTCATTGTTTGAACACTGTGGTTTTGTCATTCAGTGGTTTCACTACACTGCATGAATGAAATAATGCAAATGTTTAGTGATACTGCAGATCAGGTTCTGTTGGGAATCTTTAAATTGAAATGAGTGGCATTCGCTGTTCGGAAATATCTGGTGACTTAATACTGAAGAACTTCTGCTCTGGTATCTAATTTATTTGTTTTTCTTTCAGACACTAACTGGTGTTTGGGGCATCATTACAAACTAACCGGGTTTTAATCCTTTCATTTGTTCTATAAATCTTGTAGATTACAGGAACATTTGTGGCGCTGATAAACAAACGCTTGTTCATCTATTAACTCAGTTTGTACTTTCCTCCAGATAACAGGGAAATGCAGTGAGATCAGATGTTAGTGTGATGTAGAAAACCTTGAGAAGCTCAAGGTGGATGGCACTGAGCAGCCATTGTGCTGGTGTTAGAGCTGTGCTGCTCCTGGCTGAACTCCAGCAATGCACAGCCCTTTTTAGGGGCCATTTTACAGTGCGTCTCAATTTCCCTCGGTTTATCACTGTCTCTCTCTCACACACATACACACACAAATCTCAGAGCGGAGTACACAAACACAACTACTCACCCTGCTGGGTGCTCCCTCTGGGATGGGACAGAGACAGGGAAGAGAGCAGAGTAGAGACAAAAGAAAGGAGAAAAGGGGAAAAGGGGAAAAGAAAGAAAGTTTGACGTCAGTCCAGATAATAACAACAACATTCCCCTCGTCAGCCAAGGTTACACCAAACTGTGACTGCTCTTCTCTAATAAAGATACAGACCCACTATTGTGCTTTTCAGTCTCCCCTCCCTTGTTCCCAACCAGACAAAGCTTGCTGTCTTCCCCTGCTGCCTCTTTCAGCGCTCACTATCTTTTCTCATCTCGTATGTAGGAACAGAAACACACACACAGCTGCAGACATGCAACGCTCTCACACACAGATGCTTAACACGCCAATATGAACACATTGATCTCTTTATCTCTCCCCCTTTCTACTCTCATTCATTCCTCCTTTTTTTTTTTACCCCTTTCTTTTTTCGTCTTTCTAGCTTTCAGTTTATTCATGAGAAAGTCTCTCTTGGCTCAATGCCTGAAACAGAGTGCAAAGATAAGATATTCTATCAGGGTGAAGGAAAGTTCATTGGGAGAAAGAGTCTCTGCTGCATTTACACAAGCGCCATGAATACGTCTGTCCACATTATGACAGCGATCTAAGGCAGGGAGTTCAAAATGAGTCCAAGAGGTGAGCTGCTGTACAAATTACAAAAAACTGCTTGCCACAAGAAATCTATAGCTTTACCATAAAACCAGAAAATGATCTATTGTTATTTCTGCAGCTTTGTGCAGATTGTTCTGAAATAAAAATACTGGAATACACATGCACATGTACGTGCAGTAAAACAAACATTTTAAAAGGAAAGAAAGAGAATTTTTCAAAGTGTGATATCTTTTGCTTTCATTAGCCATTTTCAGAAACAAACTCTGTCGCGTGTTAGAAACGTCATCATCACAGGGGAGAGTCGTCCGCAGAACCCCTGCTGTTTTCTCACATGGACTAGGAAGAGGCTGGCAGGAGAAACTGTCCACAGCAACTGACTTGAACATTTGTGTTCTCACATCCACCCCCTCCGGATAATTTCAGGAGATGATCCAGAGTGCATGTCTGAAAGCAGCTATTATGAGTTTGTAACTGTACATCTTGTATTGAACTTGCGAAACATCTTCTCAAAAGGTTCAATGATGTAATTGATTTTCAATAATGAAACATTTTGTGTAGACTGACCTGAAACAAAATACGGATTTTCACTGCAGAACAACTTTGATTTACTTTAGGGCTGCAGAGTCTTTTAAGGAAAACACCTCTAAGGTCTAAATTAAGAACATTTGAACTTTCTGGGTCAAATACTGCCGTAAATACTTAACAGTTTCTCTAATAACAATCAAAATATTCCTTCAATGAACTTTGGGTTGGGTTAATGACAATCAAGCAGTTATGAAATATTATGAAAGAGTTTTTTATCTTGTTGCTCATCCTGAATGTGTCTCTTGAGGTGCCAGAACATAAAATCATGATTTGAGTGATAAAATTAAGGATTAAAAGTCCACAGTGCTTTACCTCGAAGATGTTCATGGTCAAGGTGGTTGCGCTCATCTTTGGATGCAAGGTGGGCTGAGACCCCCAGGGCCCCGGTCAGCGCCAGAAGCCCCGATCCTCCAGCGCCCAGGGAGAGACCTGACGGGTGTGGTGTCAGGGGGATGCCGGGGGCGTGGTGAGACAGGTGCTGGAGCTGCTGCTGCTGTGGCCACATGGAAAGGAGGGAGCGGGGGGGGAGGTGGGTAGGGGAGGGATGGTATCATATAAGGGAGGTGGGTGGTTAAAAAAGAGAGAGATAGAAAATGAGCAGTAGAAAAAGAAAACAGTACAAAAGGATTTGAGAAGAGGAAAGATAGAGGTGGAAAATTGCACTTGAGACAGGAGGAACAGAGGAGATGAATATAATGAAATCAACGTAGAGAGCTCAACAGTGAGAGAGAAATAGAAATAGATAGTTAGGATGGGAAAGAGATTATTGGATTAAAAGAAGTGAAAGAGATGGATACCAAGGATGAGAAAGAGGCAAGGGAGAGAAGGAAAAAAGGAAAAGACATGTTCAGGATTCATAGGGAAATTGGAAATGGACACCAAGAAGTGAGGGAAAGAAGTGGAGAAAGTAAGCGATGAGCGAGATTTATTTTGAAAGAAAGGCAGGAGGAAAAAGAGAGAAAGAAGCCAAGGGAAAAGGCAGAGAGGGAAAAATAGAGGGAAGGAAAATGTGTGAGTCAGACAGTAAACGATGGGGAGGAACAGAAGGAAATGATGGTAGATGCAGTGAAAAGTGCAGAAGTATTAGATGAACAAAGAGAGAAAATAGAAAGAGCGAGGGTAAATGAGCGCAGGAAGGAAGAGGGACGGAAAGTGTGTGGCACAGAGAGCAAAAGATAAGACGGAGCAAAAACAATGGAAGAGGAGAAATGAGGACAGGGACACAAAACGAGGTAGAAAATGATAAAAGATTACAAAAGGAGGGGTGAGAAAATCCAGACGGAACATGAAAACACATAGGGGAGGGAGAGAAAGAGAGAGAGGATAAAGAGATAGATGAGGATAGAGAGAGAGAGGAGAGCAAAGAGCCAGCTACAGATAAAGAAAGGCTATTATCCTGAGGGGAGCATTATGATGTGTTTTCATGTGTTGTCTTGTCAAGCTGGTGTGTAAGACACAAACAAACACACACACACAGACACACACCTAAGCAAAAGCAGTGTCTGTGTTTAGGTGCATTAGACACACACACACACAGACACACACACATTAGTGACAGCAGTGTCTGTAATGCTGGGAGGAACAAAGGGCTTTAAGTAGACAGTAATGTGATCAGTGCTTTGACAAGCTCTGGAAAGCCCCATCTACTACAACACTCAGGAGCCTCACAGTGTCTGTATGTGTGTACCTACAGTGTGTGTGTGTGTGTGTGTGTGTGTGTGTGTGTGTGTGTGTGTGTGTGTGTGTGTGTCTGTGTGCGGGTGTGTGGGGGGGGGCAGATTTAAGGGTACCGACCGGATTAGATTGGTACTACAGAGTACCGATTCACATTAAATTAAACAGAGACAAATTCTGGTACCAGAGCACACAACTGGGTTGTAATAATATATTGGACTTCACACTGTTGTGAGTCATGTGATCTGTGCTCTGATGAACTTAAGTGTCATTAGAATCGATAATAATCACTGATATCTTCCGCTTTCACCACATTTAAAAGAAGCCTACTGTTAATATAGAGAAGTATATTGACCTTATGTGGGGTTCAATATATTTCTCTTTATTAACATTACTTACGAACACTACCAGCAGCAGGGAGCATTGTCAATTGCTGCCCCCGACCTTAACGAGCAGTTAAGTTACATCCTTCAAAACAGGTAAGTCGAACATTTTCAAAAAAGATGCAAATATGCAGGGCTGTTCCCACAACGTATTAATACGTCTTCTGGATGAGACGCTTCTTCATATCTGAACTTCACTCAGTGAACACTAACCCCTAAACATAATAAACAGAATACTTCAAAGACTAATTCTTTATTTAATTTTTAGGAAAACACTTTGATATTGTCCATTAGCCATGTTCACTCATATCATGGCATCAAAGGTTCCCAGCATTAGCTTCTAAAATAATATCTGTCTGAATGAATGTTCACCATCAACATCACCACCTGAGACACAAACACTAAACATCCAGGGGGTTGTTCACATTGATGCTTCACCTATTTGATGATACATTTTTCTGATCTCCATATTTATATACCAGTGATGAAATGATGTCATCAACGCTTTCTCACACCTCAGGGTCAGATTGGTTGGAACATGCTTAATGTGTGTGAAGGTGTGTGTGTGCGTCTCTGTTGTCATGACGAATGAAGGTGACTCACCCCGATAATGGCGTTGAGTTCTGCCATGGTGACCTGCTTAGCTCTCTCCACTGCCTGGACCACCTGTTGCTGGTGCTACACACACACACACACACACACACACACACACACACACACACACACACACACACACACACACACACACATTGTGTGTCAGGTCAGTATTCACACAGCAGGAACCTTTACGGGACCTGAAAAAAGTGTTAGAACATCCAAACTCTGCTTCTACAATGTGAATCAACTCAATGTCTGGTTCATAATCATGGATACGCCAACAATATCCACACAAACAAAAACAAAAAATGGAACTCAGCTCCATTGAGCTGAGTGCTTTTGCCCATGTGCAGTATTTATTTTAATGATATATTCTGGGCATTAGGACAGTTTTACGCTTAAAGAGGGACAGAGAGTGGGGAAGACATTTGGCTAACAGCGACAAATGAACCTGCAGCTGCTGCAGGGAGGGGGGGAAGGGTTAAGCCTTAATATATTGGTGGCCTTCTCAACCAGGTGAGCATTGGAGCCGCTGATCTGCAATAGAATTTATGTTTGCTTTTATTATGCAAATATTACTGGACATATTACTCCTAAACTTGGTGGTGTGGGTCAGGGAATATTACATTTTGGTCGAGAATTTGTTTTCCAAATTCTTTAGCATTGTAAGTTTTTTACGTTTTCGTTGATTTCTCAGAGAATAGTTCATGGACCTTGATGAAAAAAGTAGACATGTTTAAAGAACAGTTATTTTTGAGTATGTGAAATTTGGTGCAGATCCAAACAAAAATCTAGTGAATTTAAATGTGGATTCATAAGGGGACTGATTGGCCTTATATGCACCCTTCTGAGTGACATTCCTGTTTGTCTGTTTAAAAGTAGCCAGATGAAATAATGATACATTCAGTGAAATTGACGAGGGGTGATGAGAAGCTTTCAACAGATCTGCTGATAGATTTGCTTCTTGAACAGAGGGTGACTTGTAGCAGCTGCAATAATTGGGATGAAAAGCCCACTGAAGTAATTGACAAGAAAATACTGAAAGTTAATGAGCTGTGTTTTCAGTAATATGCAGAATCTGTTAAATTAAAAAGATCTGCATCAATCAGCAAGTCAGTACGGTAAATTAAAAATCAGTGCATTTGAAAGCACAAATATAATCTACTATAATAAACTACAGTCTGAAAACTGAATTTAAAATTGATACACTTTTGTCACAACTAAAAACTATTAAAGCAATATTTGTTTCAATAATATTATTTTCTAATACAACCTGATGCACATATGTTAATTATTTTCCTCTATCAAACAGAAACTTCTGTATTTTAACTTGCTCTACCATATATGTTATAATCCGGTTTATTTACCACCCTGAATGCAAAAAATATTTTCAAGCCTGATGTGAGTATCCCTCTCCTGACTGCGTGTGTGCATATTTTGTGTACATGTGTAAGTGTGACACTCACCTCTTGAGAGAGGAAGGGGATGATCTGAGCACAGATGGCACTGAGACGCTTGACAATCTCCGCCTGCGATGGAAAGAGAGAAACGAGAGGGTAGAAACAGAAGGAGAGCAGAGAGGGATACATGATTGTGTGTCGCGTGGCGTAAGATAACAAGAACACAACGAACACAGAGCATATGATGCATCTTTACAGCACATTAGGCCGTCGCTGAATTAAAACTCACTCTTGATGAGCGACAAGTTTTGTCAGAGAGAAGAAAAACGTGGGAGCGAGCAGCAGCAGAGGTGAAGAGATGGAGGCAGCATTACAGCCCCAGGCATCATCATGTGGTCTTTTAGCACCATCACACTCTCATTTAGCTCGCACCTTTCTACACTTCAGTCGTCAAACACACAAAAAACACATGAAGGAAACACACACATGTTGACAAAGAGCGGAAGACCTCTCTCTCCAGCTCTCCACCTCTTCAGTGCCATTACATTTGTCCATTTCCAAACTTGTAAAATCTATAAAAGAGCTTTATCTTGGACAGGAAATTGTGTAAAACATCTTGCTCTCAGGTTTCTTGCAGTCATATGCACACATACATACACACACACCTGGCAAACCTAGTAACCATCCACAGATTACAGCCGCCTGTACACACACACACACACACACGCACACACTGAACCTCTGCGGTGTGTCTAATTCTATCTGTCTGAGTGCCCTCAGCCTCATTTTGTTCTCTTCTTCACTCAGCCGTTCTCTCTTTTCCTACAACAGCTCTCACACTGAGCCATTATTACCCTATTCATCCTCTTCCTCCCATCCTCATCCCTCTCCCTCCCCCTCCCTCGGTCGCTTTGTCTCGTTTCCTCCCATCTTTCTATTTTTTTTCTATATTCTGCTCTGTCTCTCCGTTTTAATTTGTCCTCCCTCTTTTCCCTCAGAAGGGCCTTTTTCTTCCTCTTAACATCAGTCCTTCTCTATGTTTTTTTCCCCTTTGTTACTTTGCTGTCACACTTTACCACCAGCATACTCATATTCCTTTCAGTTTTTTTCTCCCTCCATCTATCTAGTTTTCACCCTTGCTTTGTATCCCTCTATCCTCACTAACACATGTTCCTGGCACTTGAGGATACTGGAGAGGATGAGAGAAAGACAGCAAGGGGGGAGGTGGTGGAGGGCGAAGCAGTGACTGACAAGGCTGTTTGCACCATCAAATCGAGGCTCACACAAACACAAACACACACACACACACACACACACACACACACACACACACACACACACACACACAGACAATCAGCCAACCTGTCAGTTATAGCCAGTCCCATCATGACTTCATGCACTAGCTATCACCAGACACACAACACTGTTCCAAGGACAAACACAGCCTCATCAGATCATACATGTCAGTGTATGCATGCGTGTGTGTGTGTGTGTGTCTGCTGACCTCTCAAAGTGAGAGAGAGTGACGAACCTGACAGACAAACCCCCAAATTTCTTTTTGTGTCTGTACTAAACTGTTGTCATTGACAATAACGTCGATGTGTTCAACAAGTATCTTTTGAAACCCTGATCAGTCTGCTTGACGATCCTTTATTTATTTTTTTTCCTCAAGATAATAGCTAAATAAAATGAGGCAGTCACATGGTTGGGACACACAATGATATTATTGGTTGACCAGTAAAAGTCACCTAAATAAAGACCTTTCGTGACACATCAGTATCTATGTTTATGTTTGGTGATATGCACCGATGTGAAATCTTTTAGTTTAAATAATAAAGGAAGATGTGCATTGTTGTTTATATTGTATACATAAAATATGTTTCTTTTCTTAATTCCAGTTCTATACATGTGGTTGCATTTGTGTTTTCTTTTCAACTATAGTTTATCATTTCTTCAATTACATTTCTTTGTCATAAGGGTCTGAAAACGAAATCGGTATCGTGCCCTCAAAATCGGTCGGGCTCTAATAATGATCCCAACAGAGGTACGCCTAAATGTCAACTGTGCTGGTTTTGTATGGCGTTTATTTAGTCTCAAAATGTGTGCAAGTGGGGTAGAAATACACGCTCATGGGTTTACTTCTCTGGTCAAGGATACATGTGCACCTGTATCATATGCATTGTTTTTATGTTGGCGCTGATCTTTAGACTATATAAATGCCATTGTTTTATTATCTGGTAGCTATACTGTTTTATACCATTATATTTATTTATTTATTTATCTCAAGGGGACAGTTCAAAGTTCAAACATGAGACGTCACCATTTGATGCACTGTACCAGAATATAACTGAACTAATTTGCATCACAGTTCCTCAGATGATCGGAACAAAGAAACAACACAACAACAAACAGCACAAGGTAGAAACAGAATTCAAAATTACACAAGAAGAAATACACACGATGCTCAATACAAAACTACACAGCCAAATAAAGGCAAGTCATCAAGACCATGAGGTAGAATGTTAAAGTCAGTAAGTGCAGAGCTGAGAAAGCTTTTACCAGACTTTTCAGGTTGGCTTTGAAAGTGGTGATAGAGCTGCAGCCCCACACCTCGTCTGGCAGGCTGTTCCATTGATGTGTGGCTGTTACAGAGAAAAAGCTGATTGTCCAAATGTAATGCGAGAAAATTGTCAAAATCTTGTCTTGACAGGTTCCTTCACAAATAGATTTGTTCCGTCGTTGGAATTAACCTGCAGCTTCAAATTTGAGGATTGAGATTATCTGGTAAAAGTCTCTGCAATCTGGCAGCAATTCAATCAGCACATTGCCCAACCCTGACAAAGGCTTCCAGGATCATTTGACTGACAGTTCAAGAACAGCATCTTTTGAAATATTTCAACACTGAAAAAGTGGAAGGCTCACGATCGATGAAGACTAACCTTCAATGCAAATATGTGACTCCAGGGACAAATGGTAAAACTGTGAATTTACAAGGCATGCAATACACACATACCTTTGATTCACTTAGATGTATTATATTGATTTTACATGAACTGTCCCCCCTTCAGTTTTATATCTCTCATCAGATTCTCTCCAATGTCACATGTCCTCAAATGACCTGGCTCAGATTTGGTAAGAAAAAAAAAATAATCCGACAGGAGTGGAGCTGGACCATATGTCAAAACTGAACAGAGACACAGAGCTGACCTGAACAATGTGTCTATTAAGCTCCTTTCATTAACTGTTTTTAAATAGGTCGTAACTCTGAATAAAAGCTTCACAAATACAAGAAATACAAATACAAATACAAATCCAGTGCAGATGTAATAAGGATTTGCTCAATTCTATCTTACTGCCTAAGACAAATCAGCCATTTTGCACTGCTTAAATAAGATCCAACAAGAAGGGCACTTGCATATCTCCACCACAGCCAACTCTGCACTTTATTACCATATATACATGCATTGAGATCACATGCATCCAGATCAGCACCAAATTACACCTGTTCTCAAACGGTAAAGACAGGAAAGAAAATTCCTGAATCGGCTTCCTTAATTAAATCCTCTTACTTCTTTCTTGGTCCATACCCCACCCTTCCACCAAGTTTCAAGGAAATTGATTGAGTAGTTGAGTAGTGGATAATCCTGCTCAAAGACACAGGCAGCAATGGAAACAAAACTTCCTTGGCTGAGGTAAAACACAACTTTACTTAGTAACAATGGAGTGATTAGTTAATTGCTTCATGGAACTTCAAGTGATTATTATTATTCTGATATTGATTAATTTTATAATAATTTAGCCACAAACTGAAACCGTTTTTAAAACTAGAAGGGCACATGGAGAGCGCATTCTTCCAAGGCTTTATCTCACAATGTTAAAAAACGTTAAAAAAGTCTTCTGGATCTGCCCTTTTATCATTATCCACTCCAAAATGTACTGGGCTCTTCTTTGCGCCCCACCACTCCACAAAATTTCATGGAAATCGGTTAATTTGTTTTTGAGTAACCCTGCAAACTTCAAACTACCAAACACAAATGCAAACATAACCCCCTAGGCGGAGGTAAAAATGTTAGGATCTGCTTCGATTCTATCTTTTGTATGTTGTTGGGCTTTTGGCTGCTAATTACAATTTGTAGTAAGCTACAATGAGAACTTGTGATTGAAACAGCAAACCTAAAGCTGCATGAAGCTGCAAAGTGTTGACTCTCAGTATGTTTTGCTCTGTTACATCACATTATTTTTGATTTATCGTTATTTAAAAAAATATCAGTTAATACATAGAATCATTTTGTACATGCTTCATAAATGTATAAGTCTGCAACAACACATCAGCATCCCCCCGACTCAACATTCTGGTTGCACGGCAGCCGGTGCGTTTTACAATAGAGTGAAAGTGAGCTGAGCTGAAGTGGTCCGAGCCGGGCCAGGTGTCAGAAACAACACAGCACAGTCTCGTTCTACAGCCCTGCCAAAGCGCAGCCACAAAGGACGAGTACTGGCAAAGACTGGCCGGATGGAGGGATGATCGGATGGAGGGATGAATGGAGGGATGGATACAAAGGAAGGGGGGGGGCCTGGTCAATAAACACTTGAGGGCAGATTCGCTGCCAGTTGGCACAGGGACAGAGAGAAGCAGAGAAAGAGAGAGGCTACACGTGAAACAGAGATAAAATGTAGATGAGAGAGAAGGAGGAGCAGAACAGCTTTTAATACAGAAGAACAAAAATCCCTCAAATTATTCTCAGCAACAAAGACAAAAAGATGGAGGAATGGAAACAGGGAGAGAATAAAGGAGGAATAAACTGTAGGAAAAAGACAAGTTGTACCAGAGGCCGTCACACAGACATATCACACACACACACACACACACACACACACACACTGTTATGTTTTATAATGAGTACATTGTCAAGGATCATAAAAAATAACATTTTATATAATGAATGAAAAAAATTATATTTCTAGGTATTTTTCTGTTTCAGATTTTTACCTATATGTAAAGTGTCCATGACCATTCTTAAAGAACTATAATTATTATTATAATAATTATTATTAGTAGTAATAGTATTTTATATATGTATATACACAATCTAAAATAATGTCTCTATTCATTCATTCACAATTATATG